AAAATTATTGGCGCTTAACTCTGCCATCGTAGTGTTTATTGACTACACTCGCGAAAGTAGTATAATCTTCGTCTTTTTTGCGGGTGTGATTCATGCATTTCCAACGCTTGTGAAACAGTGACGTTTTGGGACTGAAGATTTCTGATAATGATTGAACCACCTCTTTAAATTTCAAGTCGCTGGTTTTCTTAGGTGCAAACGTGACGTTTTCAATAGCGCTCCATATAGCTTTTTGAGAAAACGCGTTATCACTGTCCGGATTTTGGTTTTTATGGGCATATACTAGTGCCTTTGCTTATTCTGAGCTTGAAGGAGCATTTCTTCCAGTTTCTGTTGTCTAACGTGAATTTCTAGGCGCAATTCCTCAAATTTCTTCTTGTATTCTGCTTGTTCCCGTTGGAATCTCTCTTGTCTTGATATTTCTGCTCGAACAGAAAATGTTGTTCTTGTTGGTGTTTCAACAACTCTAGCATTACACTTTTCAATTCGTCCAATTTACTGCGTAAAATTAAGAAATGAGAGGGAGGGAATTTTTTTCTCTTTATCCTCTTAAATAAGTCTGCTTGACTTGTAAGATTCTTTTACAGAAAAATTTAAAAGCGGAGAGAGAGTAAATTTTTACTTTACCATATTAGCGAAACAATAAATTCTTTCACTGACTTGTTGGAATGAAAAAAAAATAACAAGGTTCACCAACCTTCTTCTCAACCACTGAATTAAACCTGTAGAAATCCTCTTGTTTTGAAGAGTTTCTTTTTTTCATTGTCAGTGATGTAATTAACAATGGATACCCTTTTGTCGTACAGTTGAATTAGAATTCCTTTCTTTACCACTGTTGTAGACACTGGCAAAAACATTTTTTTTATGATTTAACATGAAATCCATTTCTTCGAATCCTTCGTCGCCAAGATGTTGTGACCAAGTAAATGGTTAAGTACACCAGAAGAGTATTACACGACTAGTAAGAATGTTTCGCATGAACTAGCGCTCAATCCAATCCCTGTTTCTTCTCTCCTACTAAACTTATAGTTGGCAGAAGAGTTTAGCATAGACTCTTAGAGGGAGAATACCACAATACTTTGAAACGGAAAGAAAAAAGAAGAAAAGAAAGAATTGAAGGAAGGAAGAAAATCTTTTAATCGGAAATTAAAGAAAGGGAAAAAAGAAACAAAGGAAGAAATAAATACATAAATAAAAAAGAAAAAGAAAATCTTTTAAGCGGAAAGAATGAAAGAAAGAAAGAGAGTCTTTTAGACAGAAAGGAATGAGGAAAGAAAAAATCTCTTAAAATGAAGGAAAGAAAAAAGAAAGGAAGTAAATATTTTAAACGGACAGAAAGAAAGAAAGAAAAAAAGAAAGGGAAAAAGAAAGAAAGAAAAATCTTTTAAACGGAAAGAATGAAAAAAAGAAAATTTAAACGGAAAGAAATGAAAAAAGAAAGAATTTATCAACCTCAGAAGAGAAAAAGATCATTTAAAGAAAGAAAGAAAGAAAGAAAGAGAACAAAATTTCAGCCACAGAAAAGGAAAGGAAGTAAAAGAATATTTAGTCAAAGTAGTAGAAACTAAGAATGAACATAGAATTTTGAAGGACTGCTCGTTTTTACGGACGTTTTTTTTTTTTTTTTTCACAGAATTCACCAGAAAGTTTTACACAACAATAACAGGCAATAAAAGTGATTAAATATTCTCATTATTTGCATTGATTGACATCATTAAAGCCGTTATTATTCTAAAGATGATAATGGTTATGGCCAAGACAGATTTTTTAATGATAAAATGGCTGTAATAACCATCTAATTTCTACTTGTTTGGCTTCACACCTCATCCCACATCATGGCGTCTATCTTATGTCAAGTAGTGGCCCCACAGCGTGATCGTTTGCGATTAGAGCGATGCTGAATCCTTATCGGCGTTTATCTTTATTTGACATGAAACACGCGCATGCGTCAAATTAAACAGCTTGTATGCATTCTATTTTCGATAATTATCGGCTTAGTAATTGATTCTACTTTTTATCGCCGAGCCCGTCGGGCAGTTCCGTCAACAAGAGCGACTTTCTTTCTTTTTTATGTTGTTTATCGGGCGTAGGAAATGTACACACTGTTGGACAACTCTATATTAATAAAGTAAATGTAAACAGGGCACGGGCATATTCATTCCCCGTTTTATCTAATGGCTGGGAGAATTTTCGACAAAGTTGAGATATAAAATCTATCAAGACCAGTATCAAAATAATATTTACCATTTAAAAACTAGTGGAAATACCATCGTCTATCTTCACAGTTAAAGAACGCAAAATAATACCTATCCACACGACAAAACGCAATATATATCCATCCCTCCACTCTCCATATATATATACATATATATGTATATATATATATATATATATATATATATATATATATATATATAGATAGATAGATAGATAGATAGATAGATAGATATTAGTGGTCAATATATATATATATATATATATATATATATATTTTCAAAGAGGATAGAATCCAGGTAGAACTCAATGTCCCGGACAGAGTAAGAATATAATATAAAAGGCTCAAACACTAGTATTCAATGGTTATAATTTATTACATTGGAATCGTAATCACGATCCAATTCATCAAACCTACAAATTCAAAAAGAAATCGGAAAATATAACTCCGAGTATAAAAAAAAACAAAATTTCAGTGAGAGTGTATGTGTGGGCGTGGTAAACGTGTGAGAGGGGAATGTATGAAATCTCTAGAGAGAGGGTGTAACAGAAGAAAGAAGAACAGAAAAGGCCTTAAGGTGAAGGTGGGGACTAAAATTTAACAGAGAGAAGTTGTTAAGGGAGGAGTTAAATAACGGTTTAAAAGAGTGACATACAGATGAATTATTTTCACATGCATAAATCACTACCGATTCGATGACCTAACAGACACCGGAAACGTATAGATACATTTGTGGTGACATTATATATATATATATATATATATATATTCCTCAGTATTCAATGGATGTTTTACCAAGCTTTATTTCCAGACGTTATTTTGTGGATACCCATGTTTGAGTAGATGCCCTTTTTGATTTTTAGTAGTGTGATTTGAATCTACCGGCTTGCGTATTCGAGAGATTTAATGAAGGAAATAGGATTTCCGTCAAAGCTCGGACCTATCCCACCTTTCTAAGAAAAACTAGTCTGAATCTCTCTCTTTCTTTCTCTCTCTCTCTCTCTCTCTCTCTATTATTTATATATATATATATATACATACATATATATATATATATATATATATATATATATATATATTTGTTTGAATAAAAACAGACTTTACCGATTCTGGATCATCAGTTCAACTTTTGGAAACAAAGTCTGATGACCCAGAGCCCTGTTAAAGGGCAACAAGTGGTCTGTTTTATTACAAACATATTTTTTTATTCAAACATATAATTTACATTGAGTTTCTGGATATCATCCTCCTTGGGTCTACCCATACGGATTATATATATATATATATATATATATATATATATATATATATATATATATATGAACAAATGGAGTATAATTCCACTGTCTGTAGCATTTAATTTTTTAAAAGGGCTCAATACAGAGTAGAGTTTAAAATTATTTATTATATGACATTAAAAACGAACAAGTTAAAAATCACTACATAATAACTTTCATGTTCCATCACTTAAAATGTGCTTCCTCAGGCGATAGTAAATAACTGGTGCAGATAACAACAAAGCAAAATTAAAACGAGGCTTATCTCTTTCCAAATAGTTTTGGAATTTAAAAGAGGTTAATAAAACTCCTACGGTTAAATGGCAAATTTTTCAAAAGCTAGAACTTGTAAATCCTTAAATTAACCTTGCTTCTCATGCTTACACGAAAAATTAGAAATTATTAGATTTGCTTATAAAAATTCTCTATAAACCAAAAAAAAAAAGTAAATTAACTGTAAATTGTAGGCATAGCTTACCTTTCAACTTACAATATGGTTAAATTTTAAATTTGAAGTGGCAAATGATTATATTATTTTGTATATTTGAATTTCATATAGCAACATTGCTGTCTAGTCGACATTATCAACATCTTGTATGAATATTAAACATTTTTTACTTTTTAAACTTAGGTTACATTTACTGCTATCTTAAAGGAGCCTTTTTCTTTCAACTATAATATATATATATATATATATATATATATATATATATATATATATATATATATTATAATAGGAGGCTAAAAATAAAAAAAAAACAAAAAGTCTTCAAGCTATAAAATAAAATATATAAGATATAAAATGCAAAGTGAGATGCCCCGGAAGAAAATCTCTTATCCACAATACCTGGGTTTCGATCGCTAGATCTCCTCAGGCCAGTTGAAAAAAAGCTCTAGTATAATGAACTCCACAACAAACTTATAAAACACCGGAAGGTAGGTGATACTGGGACTGGACCCTCCCACTTCTAAGTCTCGCTCCCGCCAGTCCCATTCATATAACATCCCAATCTAGTGGAACGGACTATAATGCTCATATTTAAACAGACACCCTCCCTTGTGTTTAGACTAAAGCGAGATACATTCACCGTATTTACAGTGATGTTTCATGTAGGGGTTTCGTTCTGGCAAAAAAAAATCACAATGTCTGGTAATCACTGTTGACTTCTGGCTTTTCCCATGGTCAAAATCTCCGTCTAAAGGTTTAAATTTCAAACAGAGTATAAGAGTACTGATGGCGATCTCAAAAATGTACTTTGTAAAGGGTTTTGAAAAATGGAAGGGAAAAGAAGAAAGTACCACGGCTATCAAGGTAACTCATTTGGTAATTTATTTTTTCATTGCTATTAAATTCTGGAACTTTCCGAAGAGACATGATATTTCTCTAATTTCTGGAAAGATTGACATGGAAACTTATTTTGCAATTTTAAATGACATGGACAAAATTTCCTCACTGATTGCAGAATGATTATGTAACATATTTTAATACAATTATGTTATTTTAGGCAGACGATTATATCACGTTGAAATACCGGTTCTCATACGATCTCTGAAGTTAAGCAACGTCGAGCCAACTCAGTACCTAGAAGGGTGATCGCTTGGGAATACCAGATGTTGTAAG